CGCGAAGTGCAAGACAAGCTACGCCACCACTGAGGGCGAGACAAAGTTACTGCCTAAGCAGCGGCCAGATCCAGCCGCGGCTGCCTTGAAGGCGCCAGAGGCCGCAAGATGGCCCTTGACCTGGGAAAGGTACGACGAGCACATACGAGCACACTGAAACGCCGGCCCGCAGCGGTCTACTGTTGCTGGTTCAAGCCTGCAGTTGAGGGCCCGGCGGAATCGCAGTGGCCAGGTCCGGCCGCGGCTGCCACGCAAGCGCCAGCGGCCACATATGGCCTTTGCTCAGGGGGCGGTGTGGCAAAGCAGGCTCGGGGGGGCGGCTGCCTGTGTGCGGCGCAAGAACCCTCGAGTATGTGAGCTGACGGCCAGTTGAGCCCGTCGGCGAATTGAGAAACAGCCAGCGCCGTCAAAAACCGCAAGGGGGAGCGAAAACCTTGGTAGCACGAGCAGAAGGTAAGGCTTGCTGCAGGCGAAGTGAGTCCGCGGCCGTGTGTTCGTGCTGTGACTGGGCGCGCCGCGGCTAGGGCGCCTACGCCAGCCACCACGTCACACACGCCGCTTCCTGGCTGCACCCAGGAAAAATGGCGACGCTGAGAGGCGCGGGCCCTCCGTGAAAGGTGAAAGGCCAGGTGGCGCGGTTCGGCCCCGGTGGGACGGCAGTGCGGGCTGGGGGCTGGAGGCCGCACGCTCACGAACTCGCTCACCCGCTTAGCCGCTTAGGCCGGCGGTCGGCTTCGTGCTCGGGCTTGGACCAACGGCTCCTTGGAGGAGCGGGCGTCGGTGGCGCCGGCCCCTCCGGGACGTGCGGCTGCGCCTTGAAGAGCGCGCCGTGACTCAGGCGAAGAACCACGCCCAGCCCTTGGCTCAGCAGGCGGCTCGTCCCTCGGGCGTGCCGCGGAACGTCCTCTGCTGGAAGCACTTTTCCCCCAACCCCGTTTCCCACACCACCAGGACGCTCTTGTTGTGGTCCCGAACTGCCTCCAAGCGCAGGTCGCCCAAACGCAAGGTCACGCGTTCCATCCAACGCCTACCCGAACCCTGATGCAAGGGGGCACCACCAACTACTGAGCCTTTTGAGCCAAAATGGCTTGAGCCAAAATGGTTTCCCCAAGTCGTCTCTATGGAAAAGCCTTTTTCCCCGAGTCATCCCTATGGAAAATACAGCTGGGGTTATCTTACATCCGCCCGGTTTTCATGCATCGGTTGAGCGTCCACTTGGGGAAACCATGTCTTGGGCTAAGCCTCTGCCTAACAGCATATTTGGAGTAAATGTTGTTTATGAGAGCGTCCACATGTAGCTTCGAATTTTCTAGCGTGACATCCTGGGAACTATCACGTTGCTATCCACCAGCGCATACAAGGTATCCTTCGGACTCGTGCTGCACCATCCCATAGCGAAATCCGTATTTCGCTCCTGTTGTACAATCCCCTACTACAGACGGGATTTCCCTCGAGCTCCTGATGCAAATCCTTCTTGTGGGCGTCATGTTTGCGCACCCTTTCCGGCTCTTCGAAACAAAGTGGTTCGTTCCTGTGGGGAGTTGCTGATGCACGGTGGCCAAAATGCATATAAAAACCGCACTGCAAGCCCTTGGCGTCTGCCACATAAGCGGCATTCCTACACACAGCGTCTCCTTGGTCAGTTGCATCTGGTGATGCATACTGTCCCCCAGGCAATCTTCACCAACGGACCGTAACGCCAGGGGTTCACTGGGGAAAAAGGCAATTGTTATGACTTCTTCTTGCTGCTGATGCTGATGCTGTTGCAGCAGCATTTCCCAGCAAACAGGACTTTCCGCATTGTTGCTTTACATGCTTGAACCCAATCGAGTTCACTGCGGAAACAGGAAAATGTTATGACTGCCCCGGAAGTAGTCATAACGCGCGGTTCAATGGGGGACGGGTTCCCGCGCTGCAATTGTTACGACTTCAGGGTCTGACTGTACCTGTAGGCTTTGGACCGGTAGCGGTCTGAAGGCATGGCTTCACGAGCTTCTGGTGATCAAGGGACGCTAGGGCAAGTTTAGCCCGAATTCCAACTCAGTGTTCTTCAGAGGGGCGCGAGTAGCTGAAAAGTGCATCAGGCGACCAATCAGCAAAAGCACGACCGCGTTTTCGGGACAAATGGTGAGTGAGGGTGTGCGCAAAAAACAGAATTGTTTTGTTTCGCGCGGTTTTTTTCTGGAACGTTTTTAAAGAGGCCGTGCCTAGCGGCGAAATGGCATGATACGATAGCAACATTCAAGCGCACACGCCTGAGAACCCGACGGGAACACAAAGAAGAAGATTTGCTGCCACAACAGCCCGTGCCAGCCAAATCACGTGCAATATGCAGATCTTGGATGCTCGGAATTTATGATGCCACATTTTTCCGATGCAACAGGTCGCGTGACCGCAAGATCAGATGGTGTTACTGTTCCGACACGATGTGGCACGGGTGCCATGCATACCTGCAGGCAAACAATGAATATCCGAAGCATTGTCATTACAACATGTGTTGTGGCGTGCATTCCTGACCTGAGCTACATACTGATGTGGGAAATAATGCCATGGCTTCTTCCCGGCGCCGTCCTATCGCCAACAGCTTGGAACACTCTTGCTCAGGATGTCGTCAAGGGATACTGCATTCCCGTAGGACGTGGTAACCAAGACCAGGTCACATGTTTCATCTTGCCTCCGGAGGATGTTGTGTTGTGCGGTTGCCGGATGTTATGGGTTGGTTTAGTGCAATTTCAGTTTGATTTCGGGAAGTCTGCACAATAACAGCGTATACGAAACAAATGTTCCCGGAATTGGCGGGGTTTGTTTCCTCCGGCAGAGTCCGCTGGGATTTTTTTATGCTTTGGCAGCACCAATGCGCGCAGCACACGCCGTCTAAATGGCCCCCCATGTGAGCAACAGGCAATATAGACTCCGTACAGCGATATAGTCTTGGACCCAGTTCGCATTTTGAGGTTTTACGTATACCTTGCAAAACGATATGGTGACTGGCCAAAAGCGGTAGTGCTTCAGGTTCCGATAAGATTCTTCATGCGAAGCTGACAAACCCTGCAAAACGATAAGGTGACCATCCAAAAGCGATAAGAACAATGAACACTGGAAGGGCTGATTCTAGAGTTTTGCCGATGGCTCATGTCCCGAAGAAGTATGTCAAGTTTTTTGAATGTCAGGTCCGGCTCTCATATGCAACCAGCATGTGTTAAATTTCTGTTTGGGCTGTTAACCTTCTAAACGTACGGTCAATTCCATGCTGCACTCGCAGTACACGGGCTAAGCCGACGACTGGTATGGAACATGTCAGTTGACGCGTATGGTTTCCATCAAATTCGGTGTCATGGCTCGAGACGAGGTCCATCCTGCAAGTAGTTGCCGCGGCCTGAGTACATCACACAATTGGTGTTGCTTGGCAATATGTTTTAGTCAAGCTGGAACAGCTGGGATGGAAACCCTTTGTCGCTGCCAAGTTATTTCTTCCTTATGCAATGCATGCACGTTTGTTTATTGTTAGCGTGGCCACAGCCATTGGCTTATTCTGCAATTCTTGGTTCGTGTGGTTTGACAGTTAATGTTGACATTTTAGCTCGAAGCCATAGAGGGCAAAAATTGTATTGCGTGTGCAGGGTGCCACTGAGTCAAAGCAAGCATTGCAACCGCAAGGGGGGGAGCATCAAAGGCGGCGCCCGTCCCACTTGCCACATCTTGACCGACGCCGCAGTTGCCCCACTCGCCCCGCTTGACCCACTTGGCAAACTTGACGCAGTTGCCCAAGTGGGGCGAGTGGGTCAAGTGGGGCAAGGATTCTTGCTTGACGTCCGGGCAGGAGTTGAGGGGGTCACATTATGATGGGGCCCCACCTGCCCCACTCGACCCACTTGCCCAAGTGGGTCAAGTGAAGCAAATGGGTCAAGCGGCAACTGGAAGGATTCGTCTTGGGGTCCTCAGGTGGCTTGTCTGGAGCCTCCGGAGCAGGAGCTGAGGGGGCCACATGAGAGGAGAAGTGGGGGCAAGTGGAACAAGTGGGTTGGTCAAGCGGGCCAAATAAATGGCAGGGATTTGTCTTGGGGTTTTGAAGTGGCTTGTCTGGGGAGACAGGAAGCCACAAACCTTCCTTCTAATACCGAAGCAAGTGCGTAAGCCACCCAAGAACCTGAACATCCCACAATGGTTTAGATTTGAAATCAGTGGCACAACATCCATGTGGGCAACATTCTCCGGCACCGGTCATGTTGCTTCGTTTCTTGCATTGCGCATGTTACGCCTTGTTTGCAGGATGCCACCTCGACGAGCACTGTCACAATCACGTCAACCTCCAGTTTCTCCAGTGCCTTCTTCTTTTCAATTGAAGGATGTCCGATTGTCGGTTGGTAATGACACATTCGTGCGCAGGTACGAGCAGCTCGCTCTCCACCACAACCTCGAGAACAAGCAGCACGTCATCATCTCTAACAGGCACCGCGACAAGCACGACAATGTGGCCCTCCATTACAACCTCCAGTACTACCGCCAGTTCGTTGTCAACCACGATTACAGACTTCAACTCGACAACTTTATCCTCCACAACTTCATCCTCCACAACTTCATCCACCTCGACCTCCGGAACACGTACAACAACAACAAATACTACAACCATCACAACCACCTCGTCCTTCACCACGACTACCACTCACTACATTCCCTGTCCTACAGGAAGTTTCAAGACGGTGGCAAACGCGCCGTGCGAGCCATGTCCCGTCGGAACTTTCAATTCCGCAGTCGGGGCGCTATCCTTAGATGCGTGCAGCCCTTGCATAGCAGGCTCCACCACGAAAGATGCAGGAGCCAACGATACGGATTTGTGCATTCGACCGCTGGGAGGTGAAGTCCGCCAGTGCACTTCTGGGCAGGGCTGTGTTGTGAACATTAGCGGCTTCAACCTTCAAGATGGGCATCGGCCGGCAATCCTGGGCTCTACAGACTGCCAGGGTGCATTGGTCCAGGTGTTGAATGCTCCAAACTCAGGCATGTCGAGGCCTGCCACGGAAGACAGCCAGTATGTTTGGGGCGATGTGCCTGCCGACTTTATCACAGAGGGCGGGATCTACTCCCTGTGCTGGTGTCCAGGCATGCATGGTATTTTATGCGATGACTTCGCTCAGTACCAACTGTCTGCAGGCGAGCTGACGGTGTTGGGCCCTCGTCATGATCACAACTTCCGGTGCGTGCGGGGTCAGGATTGCGGCAGCAGCAATCTGCGGCCCTTGCAAGGCCTGCATGTTGGCTTTGAAAAAACACAAATCCTTGTGTTTGATAGATTTTGATGCTAGACCTTTCTTTAGATTTCATGTCGCTCTGACCGCTGGAGGCCTTGGGCTGTCTCTGACGGACCGTGTTTCAATTCGTTCTGGTGGCTGTGGAGCCGCAAGAACCATCCAAATCTCGCTGGCCAACCTCCACGGCATCGCCAACGTCACGGAGAGCGTAAACGCGTCGTCCACGCAGGGCTCGAACACATCCATTCTCGGCCTCAGCTTCGGTGCTTCCGATTTTACCCTGGGCCTTGATCATCGCTTGTCCATTGATGCCAGCGTGGTTGGCTACGACCTTTGCTGGTGTGGCCTCGCTTCCTGCGCGGTTGGGGACTTTGTGGTGCCGCTCGGACAGCTGATTGTCCAAGGTGCTAGGACCAATCAGGAGCTCCGCTGTCCAGTTGGGCAAGAATGCTCTCTCAGCAGCATCTTGACAGTGGACCCGCAGCCTGGCGACAGATTGATGGTGTTAACGGCATGCGCCACGGGCGTGTCTGTGAAAGGCTTTCCGGGTGGTGGCGTTGCAGAGCACGCCCCTTGGACTGCACAGGGGAAGCCAGCTCAGATAAACTGCTCAGTAGCCTTTTCGGCGGACTAAGGATGGCCTTGGCTTCGAATTCTTGGCAAGCAATGACTCGAGAGTCCTGCAGTCACCTGTCGGGATTTTCCGGCTTTGCTTTTGCAGGCCGCAATTAGGTCTGGTAGCTTGCGATGCACCGGCAGACTTCCCGGCGGCGGTTGGGCTCATGGTCAGCCAGGGCCCTTTCGACGAAACCACAGCTTGCAACGTGGGCGATCTTTGCGTCATCACTCTGTTCGGAATCTGGGTGGCCGTTAGCGAACTTGAAAGAAATAACGACAGTATATATATATATATATATATTTAAGGAGACCCTATTCTTGATTTATCTTATCCCCAATTATCCCCATATTTGGACAGCTTAAACCCTTAACCCATATATTATGGCAACTCCATTAAACCCAAAATGCACCATATGGTTCCGTGTCGCCATGTTGGTAGCCCCCCCACCCCCCCATGGTGTGGTCCCGTGACCCCGCCCAGACCTTTCGAAAGTGTGAACAATCACAGGGATGGCAGGTGTCCTGCTCAGAATCCTCGCTACCGTCACCGTTTCTGAGGTTGCAGATCTCAAAATGCCAGATCAGACAACCCCCATCAACCAGACACAAGTACAAGAAAACATTGGGGCCACAGGCATGACTATGGGATGGCCCTATCATCTCGCTTAGCTGGCACGAAATAGGTTGCGAATCTGTTTACACCCGGTAGTTCTGCCAAGGGCGAAGGAACAAATAGTTCATATGAAAAGCGAGGATCTATGCTTTTATCCTGTGCTCCCCCACACGCACAAACAGGGACCACAGGGGGAGGGAGGGGCCTTCATCCTGCAGACAATCAGGTGCATTTCGTAGCAGGGATAGATGCGTTTACCTTAATGTTCCACAGGTTCTACAACAACGACGGGCACCAACGGGGGGTGGCAAAGGGATCCTGCTGACCCTGGGGTCCCTGACCAGTTTCATATGACTAGCAAGGATTGATGCGTTCATCTTACTGCCCCACAGGTTCCCACACCCGCTACAACAACCACAGGCACCTCGGGCGGCGGGGGGGCTACAGATGAGGGGTCAAGGGGGGGGGGTTCATGCTACGGATAACCGGGTCCAGGAGCAGTCTCAGACTGCTGCCATTGGGCATGACGATGGCGGGTGGGGGGCTTGGCGACGCTGCGCCATATATACCCCTATTATCCCCTATTCCTTAAACCCTAAACCTTGTATGTACCCCGATTATGGTAACTTAATGAGATCCTGAAGCTTATATTGCACCCCTATTCTGGGGATTGAATTTAAGGTTTTGAACCGCAACCCAGGAATTGGCTTAAATGCAGGTGACAAGCTACTCATAAGGCTTGCCGAGAGCTGCGGGGGTGTCACAGCACCGGAAGTGCCTGGCCACAGCGCATCTCACTGGTGCTTAGTAGCGAATAAGGGAATATATTGGGGTTACCTAGGGACATTGGACAAGAACATGGAAATTTACTACACATTACTACATTCTAATAGGGTCTGTATTGGGGTTATAGTTGGGGATCAGGGAATGTAGCATATAGAAATTATGTGGATAACATTCCCATATTCTTTGCTAAGAACCTGTAAGGCATTGCAGCAGCCGCTCCAACTACAAGTGTCGCTTACTCGAGATTAATAGGGAGTAAGGGGATCTATTTTATACCAATTTCCTAGACCTTCCATCTACTCACTAATTACCCACTATTAACGACCAAATAACCCTATTCAACGGTTGCAAGGAGGGTCGTGGTATATAGGTATAATATTCCCTTCTCTTGCCTCGTAGGAACCAGTAAGGAAGAGCTATTATCAAGTTTCCATATACGCAGTTTATGGTAACTTTAACTCTCAACCCATATGATGGCAACTTAATTGAACCCTAAACACTATGTATATAATATGTGCCCAAGTATGGCAACTTGGTTGAACTCGAAACCCTATGTACACCCTCATTATGGTAACTTAATCTAAGGTCGGTTGATGCTGGTGCATTGCAAGCATCACTGGGCACCCTTCCCTTAGAGACGGAGGCCGGCACCTACCAGGCGGGATGGCAAGGGCTTACAGTAGGGGTTATTACCATGGCTTAGGGGTTGAGGCTGAGGGGGTCGTTTTGGTACTGAAATTTCGAGATTAAGGAGATTTGAGAGCCCTAAGTAATTGTAAGTTCACATGGGGTTGAGGGTTTGGAGGGGAATCCGAAGCCTTACAAAACGAGTGTAGTTTCTCACGGGTTTTACCCCGAAATGGCGGAAACCTCTAGTTCTCTAAGTTTTGGACGATTGGGTGTTGATTTCAGAAACTATTGAGATGGCGATTTCATGCCGGTGGGGGCTTTTGCTGATGACTTTTCCTGTAATGGCGGTTTTTAGTCGTGATCAGCTCTCATGCTTTGTGGGAGATGGGAGTTTTTGGGGTGTTGTTGCTGGCAACAAGTGCACAAGCCGTTCTTGTGCAAACCAAGCAAGTTTGTACACACGTCTGGCAGCGTCCAAAACCTAGCCGAAAAGAGGTAGGAGCAGTCTGGTGGCGTTTTTTCGAAATTCCACTTGTCGAGCCCGGACTTTTGCACTTCATGGCCCCCAAAAAAGGGCGGAAATCGGCATGGAAATGGCGGATAACATTCGGAATTAGACTATGTTGGGGCTTTGAAGCTACACTTTTACATGACATCTGGATCATGATATAGCGGTTGTTTCGCATGTTCATTCAGAAGTTGCTTTCCAGTTTTGCATTGGAATCTCGCAATGATCAGGTTTCACAAGGTTTTACGGTCTACAGTTTGGGCTTCTCCTCGGACTTCCTAAAACTAAAACTTGCCTGGCGCTGGATTGGCAGTTCTCAAGAGGCTAATTATTGCACTTTTGGCAGCTACACCTTTCCAATTTCATTTTTTTGTTCAAGCTGTCGCGAGCTAACCAATGACAGCTTTGAATGTTTCACTTCTTCCTTCAATTTTCGCAGCGTTACGTTTTTAGGGCGAGATGGCAGAAATTCCAGCATTTGGGCAAATGATTCTTTTTGTGCAGGAGGGCTTGCTAGGCATGTTTGAAGCGTTCCTCCAAACGCCTTTTCCTGCAGGTCTGCTGGTGTCCAAGCAGCCAGACTTGTGGTTTGGCCAACGTGGCCTACTTCCGGGCTGACGCTGGACGAGCACCTTGACACGCAGCTCTTTTTTGAATTCTGGTTAGAGTCTTTGTGTAATTACCGTTCCCCCACCGGTGTGCAGGTGGACATCCGGTGCCCACCAGGCCGCTTTTTCACAGGCTTGCTTTGCGGATTGTGTGGCCCAGGCTTCTACTGTCCGGGTGGCAGCAAAGGCGTAGCGAGCAGATTCTCCTGCAGAAGTGGCGAGACAACTCTTTCCAACAATGCTTCCTCTCGGGAAGACTGCGTGTGCGATCGCGGCCATTCCCCATCATCATCAGATACATGCATGGAGTGTGCCAGTGGTTCAGGAAGCACGCGAGAAAGTAG